GAATTATGACAGCATATTATGAGCAGCTATATGGAAACAAATGGGAAATGGACAAATTCTTCAAAGAGTACAAGCTACCATAACTGACTTAAGAGGAAATAGAAAGTCTCAACAGGTGAACAAATATAAATATAACAAATGAAAATATTGAATCAGTGAACAAAAGTCTCCCAACAAAATGGAAACGTCCTGAACTAGATGGTTTCAAATTCTACCAAATATTTAGATAAAAATTGACATTAGTACTGTTTAAAATCTTTCAAAAGATGTAGAAGAAAGGAATACTCCCTACTTCATCCTGTGAAGCAAGCATAAAGCTTTATAGCCAAAGAGACCACCCAAAGAAAACCACAGACCAATCTCTCTTAAGAATATAGATATGAAATGTATCCACAAAATGCTAGCAGAATCCAAAAGTGTATTAGGAGTTGTACACTGTGACCAATTTGGGTTTACTCCAGATATGCAGTGCTGGGTCAGCATTAGAAAATTAACATAAAAATAAAATTTTTAAAAAGAACATAAATAATAAAAGAAAATTAACATGACCCCAGTAAAATGATTTTTTTAAGAAATAATTTTTTAAGACATAATTCACATAATAGACGACATCAACAGCATAAAGGGAAAGAATCACATAACCGTCTATATGGATGCAGAAAAAGTGTTTGATAAAATCCAGCACCTGTTCTTGATGAAAACCCTAAATAATTTGAAATAGGGGGGGGGGAAGTCCTCAAAATAATATAGGTATGGAAAGCCAACGGTCAATATTATACTTCATGAAGGAAGATTGAGAGCTTTTCGCTTGAAATCAGAAACAAAAGAGGGTACCTTCTTGCACCACTTCTATTCAATATTATATTAGAAATTCTAGACAGAGCAATAAGACTGGAAAAATAAATAAAAGGTAAAATTGGAAAAGAACAGGTAACATTGTCTCTCTGTAGGATGAGATGATCCTAGACAAAGCGAATTACAAAAATGTCCTCAAGAAAATTTCTAGAGCTAATAGAAGAACTTAGCTCTAGAAAAAGTCAGGGTACAAAATCAACAAACAGTTAGATTTCTATATACCAGTTGGGATAATTTCAGGAAGCAATTTCATTTACAATGACATCTGATAATAAAATGCTAAGAAATCAATTTAACCAGAGGTGTGAAGGATTATACTATGAAAACTATAGAATATTACTGACAGAGATTACATAAGGCTCAAATAAATGGAACGATATTCCATGTCCATGGGTTGGAAGCCTTAATATTGTTAACATGCCAGTACTACTCGAAGCAAACTGCAGAATCATTGTAACTCCAATCAAAATTCCAACAGTTTTCTTTACAGCAATAGAAAAACTAGTCCTCAACTTTAAGAGGTTTTGACAAGCTAATTCAAGGCTGGAGGAGAACAAAGTGGGCGGGCTCACACCTCCTGATAGACTATCCCAAAGTCAGTGGTTCAAACCCACCAGCCACTCTACAGGCAACAGATGAGGCATTCTGCTCCTCTGGGGGAAAGGCAAACCTTTCCACTCCTGTAAAGGTTACAGTCTTGGAAACCCACAGGGGCAGTGCTACCTTGCCGTATAGAGTCATGAGTTATCTGCTCCTATAAAGATCGACAACCTTGGAAACCCAGCTCCATGTCAGTGATTTGGGATTGGGTTTATGGAGCTAGAGTAACCAAGATAGCTTGGTACTAGGGTAACAATGACTGATAAAACATGGGCGAGAATTGAGAGTCCAGAGGTAAACCCACATATTTGTAGTCAACTTATTTTTGACAAGAGTACCAATTCTATTTAATGGAGGAAGAAGTATCTCCTAAATAAATCGTGCTGCGAAAATTGATTACAATGTGCAGAGTAATGAGGAAGGGTCCGTGCCTCACACCATATACCCAAACAGACAAAATGGATTAAATAGCTAAATGCAAACTAAAACTACAGAATTCTTATAAAAACAAACAGGAACAACGCTGTCAGGCCTAGCTTTCAAAATAATGGATTATTTAATAACAAAAGCACAAACAGCCAGTGACAAAGTAAATAAATGAGACCTAATAAAAATGTTAAACTTTGTTCATTCAAAGATTTTATGAAAACAGTGAAAAGACAAACTACCAACTGAGAGAATATCTCCAGAAACCATATATCCTACAAAATTCTAATAGCCAAAATATACATATAAAACTTCAATAACAATAAGACAAATAACCCAATCATAAAATGGGCAAAGAACTTGAATAGACATTTCACCAAATATTCAAATTGCCACCAAGACAAAAAATTTTTAAAGAGCACGGTGTCATTAACCATTCTTTCTCTCCTTGCCATCCGGTCAGTGCTGACTCTTAGCAACTCCCTGGTGGGTTTCCATGACCATACCTGTTACGAGAGTAGAAAGCCCAGTCTTTCTCCCTCCGAGTTGCTGATGCCTTTGAACTGCTGACCAAGCAGATCACAGCCCAATGCATAACCACTACATCACTAGGACCAACAGAGATGCAACTCAAAATCACAATGAAATACCATTTCCCCCCTAGTAATATGGCTAACGTAAACATAAATTTAGGGGAGAAGGAAACAAACAAAAAACAGAAATAACAAATGTTGGTGAAGATGTGAGGAAATTGGAACCCTTATCCATTGCTGATAGACGTGCAAAATGGAACGGTCAATGTGGAAAACCAATGTAGTGGTTCCTCAGTAGACTAAAATTGAACTGGTCTATAACCCAGCAATTCCACTCCTGGGCCCATACTTAATGACTTGCAAGCAGAGATTCAAAAGGAAACTTGTATACCAGTGTTCACTGTAACATGATTCCCAATGGCCCCCAAATGGAAAGAAACGAAATGCCCATAAACAATGATTGGGTAAACAAAATGTGGGATGTACATGAAGCAGCAGACACATGGTAGTGATAGGAAGAAATGAAGTAGAAATATGAACGACAGTAGGGACAGAACTTGAAGAGATACTGAGTAAAATTAGCCAATTAGGTAAGGACAAATATCGTATGGCCTTGCTTATATAAAAAGACACACACACACACACACACCCCAAAAAAGGGCAAATGTGTAAAGACCAAAGCTTCTTAGTAGTTAACCAGGGGTGAGTGAGAGGAGGGAAAGGAATTAACAGTGATGGGAAAATCACATTGATTGGAGGTGGGACTGCACAGCCATTATTGTAACTGCTGTCGGTAAGTTGTATACCTGGCAAAAGTTCTGTGATAGATCAAGGACCAAAAAAAATCTCTTTAAAAAGTTTGCTGAGATTGCTTGTGTACAGCCGAAGACTTCTGGGGAGAGAGCGTTTAATAGGAGGAGGAAATAGAATGTGTGGCTAACGGCCTCCGTGAACAACTGCCTTCCTGCCGTGCCATTAGAACGGGATGGTTCCCAGCTGCTATTACTGAACATATTTATCCAAGATTCTGTAGAAGAATCATGATCAAGAGGAGGAAATGCAGAATAGAATTTCAAATTATCATGGACTCTAGACTTTCTGAGTCTATGGAAGCTAGATGAGTCCCCAAAATTATTGCCCTGAGATTACCTTTAGACTATAAAGCAAAACTATCTCCTGAAATCCTCTTCACCCTGGACAACAGTTTCGCTTCAGTCATGAAGAAGGTCTGCCGGGAGCATGGTCCTCTTTTAGACCAACTGTATGTGACGCTAAATTGACAACAGCAACTCTAATGATTAGATAAGAACCTTAGCGGGCAGTGAGTGTATGTTCATGAGGGATGTGAGCAAGGTGCCAAACATGAGGAGTGTTACCAGGGTGACTGAATTGCACATGTAGACGCTGTTGAATTAGGGTATGCTTTGCTGTGTGTTTTTCTCAGAGACAACACAAATCCTCTGTGCCACACAATGAAATGTAAACTCTTCTGACGGGCACCTCGTGCTCCTTTCTGACTCATATCAGCCACTCTCCCAACCCACTTGTCCTCGAGGTCTCCAGACACTCTGGTTCACCACACAGCCTCTGAATACTGTTGTTGTCTTTAACGCTGCCCTGGTTCTGCGTTTTGGATTGAGCCTCTCCTCTGTGTCCAGTCAGATCCTGGGTTCCATCTCAATGACCTCTTCCCCTTGGAAGGTTTTCCTGGCTGTTCATCTAGAAGTGCTTGCTCCTTTCCTGCGTTTAGCACTTCTTTGCAAAGGGTGACCACATACCTTATCACCTTTAAAGAGGATGCTATTAGTTAATGAGCAGGCACAGCAATAGGATAGTTTAGGGAAAACTATTTGCACGCATGCCTAATTCATCACCTCTAGCTCCCTTGAAGCCAGAAACCGTGACGTTAGTATTTGCTCTAACTCCAGCATGGATTTGTTAATAGACCGTTCTGATTAATTAAATAAAGAACAAAGAGGATTAATTGATTGGAGGAATGGGCAGATGAATGGATGGATGATGGAGGGCTGGGTGGGTGATTAGGTGGTGAATGATCAAAGTGCTTCATCTTAGAGAAAAGGCTAGTTACTGAGGACTGTACCGCTTAAAAACTCCCATTTTATCCGTTTTTAAAAGAAGAAAAGAAACTACCTCTGACTGAATTCTCCCAACTGGCCTCGGTTGCTTCATCCCAGCCCCACAGTTAAATGTGTTTCTCTCTGCTTCCCTCGGTGGCCCCAGCTGGAGGGCAGACACACCCTGGCCTTCATTTCCATTTGGTTTGCTGTGATTTACTCTGGGAGCCTAACAGTTTGCTTCCAGCAGCATGTCTTCCAATAAAGAACGAAGAGAGTCACCATCCAAGAAACAGCCTACTTGTTTGGACTAAACACTAATTGCACTTAAGTACAAATGGTACAGTCCAGTAACAGGCAATCAGGGGTCTCGTGGAAGTTGTAGCATTTTCTCCTCTCTGAGTTCACATCGCTTTCTCGATATCAGAAACGCTCATCCATTTTTAGGGTATTTTTCTGAACCATATTTTTCTCTTCTCTTTCCAAACTCCCCTCCCCACCCCCGTTTCAGAAACGAGAAGGGATCCTCCAGTCCCGGCAAATCCAAGAGGAAATGACTGGAAACACAGAGTATGTCAACACCATTGTTGCCAGCGATTCTGTAATGGAACACAGATGTTTCTCCGAAATTCATCCATTTGCTGATATTTAGTTTTCATTTATTGGGCTTGCAGGAGGGATTAGACTTCAGCCAATGATTACAGTTTAGCCTTTTCCATGCATTCAAAACATGCCTCTCAATGCTGAAGGTACAAACTTGGGTGGGGTAGTGGGGAGAGGGAATTAGCAGTGATTGAAAAATTCTAATTTTATGGCACTCCAGGAAGAAAAATGCTCCCCACGAAAAGCCAACCAGCATGAAATCATCATGCCATAAACATGGGGCTGAATTTAAATTGTGAACCTTCAGAAGGGCTCTTTTCTTTCTTTCTGCATCTGATGTCTTTGGTCATGCGCCGTGACCCAGAAGGCCCGGCCCCTCTCTTCTTTTGCCCTTTTTTGTTCCTGTTGGCCCGCCCCCACTTCTCTTTTCTCTGTGCTTCAAGAAATCACAGCATCAGAATGCACCTGAGGAGTGCCACGCGAAGAGGACCCTTATTCTTAAGCAGAAAGAGCAGGTTGATGTAGGGGGTCACTGGGCGAGCCCATACCCTGGCCACAGGCAAAGTTTATTTGTGGCATCCCCTGTTCCCCCACCAGCTGTCTCTGGTCCCCGTGAGTGATAGCGCCAGAGTGGGATGAGCAGGGCCTCTGAGTCAGCCCGACTTGAGTTCCGATTTAGGCTTTTCCGCTTGTACACAGGTGAGCCCCTCCACCTCCCCGACCTCAGCTCCTCCATCACTTTCCGAACCTGCAGAGGGGGTGGGAATTCCGTCAGTAACAGCCCGCCCTTCACTGCTGCCTTCCCACAGCTGACCCACACCTTCCAAGCCTGGCCCAGTCTCTTGGGAACTTCCTCCTCCCTTCTCTCGCCCCTGAGAAGTGCAGCCCGTCTAGACCACACTGTGCGGTATGCTTTAGAAAAGGCATCAACCTGTTGGCATTTCAGGCTGAAGATAAGGGCAGAAAGCATAGGGTGCCTTTCCCAAGACCCCCAGCGTGGCTCTGTGTCATGCTCGGGACCAGGCGCAGCCACAGAGGGGACAGCTGAAGGACCAATTGTTGGCCTTGGTTCTGTGAGAAGTGGTAGAAAGATGCCTGGGTCAGGCCTATGGGGAAAGGAGCACAATTCCTCACGGTCCTGCACTTCTCCCCTCCCCGCCCCCACCCTGCTGGGCTTAGGCTATTTTACCTGGAAGGGAGGAAGACCCCTGAGAGTAGCGTGACCTGTGGGAAACTCTCGAGTCAGGGACTGTGACGTGGCAGATTCTGGAACACTCTGTTAGCTGCCTGTTAGGACTTCTTTTCTCTCCACCACCTCTACCATAAAGACAGAAACATGGATACAACCTGGTAGGAAGGAAGGCGAGACCCAGTCTGTGTAACACGGTCATCTCTCATTTTCGTTCCTAATAAACACATACCCCCAAACTCTCACTGTCATCGAGTCGATGCAGACTCAGACACACACAGGCAATGGTTAAATCCCTAAAATCTCTGAGTCTGAGGGCTGAAGACTCTTGGATCTCTCCAACAGTCACCGATTGTTCTTTTCAATCTGCTATTCCCAATTGATCATTTAGGAGGTGATAGGTATACAGTTGGAAGAAACCAATAGAATAAGACCTAAGCTCATTGAAGTTACCACTACTACTATGCTGATTTTAGACACGAGAGACCTGCAGTCCAGAGAGGCTAAGCAACCTGCCGGAGGTCACACAGCTAGCAAATGGCTCAGTAGGACTTAAGCCCAGTGGTCCGTCTCGAATGTGTGTGCTCCACTGAGTCCTTGGCTGGTGCCAGTCTACAAGTGCATTACAGTGCCTGCCCGCTCGGGGCCATTGGCAGGTGCAGCCTGGTGGACATTCCAGGCTGCATGGAAGAAAGACATAGTTCACCTCCTCAAGCAGAGACCCACAGCCACCCGGGCAGTGTGGTGCCGTGCCATGGGTTTGCCTGAGGGAGTGGGGCACCTGAAATTTGGTTGGCAACCTGGAGCCCCCACGAACAATCTTCTTTCTGCACTGCAAGCAATAATGTGACTTTCTTTAAGACAAGAGTCCTTGAAGGATCATCTCACCAGCCTTTTGCTTTAATACCAGTGTATCTGTATAACAGGGAAAATAGTAATATAATGAAAACCGAATAATTAGAGGACTTGGCACAGAGTAAGATGCCCAGAGAAGAGGGTTTTGAGTCCTTCAGCCCCAGGTAGGCTGGTTACAGGGTGAGGACTGGCTAGCAGGGTAGGAGTGGGCTTCCAACAGAGAGGGACGAGCTTCTCAGAGGATTCGCCATAGAGGAAGAATCACGATTCTTGTTTTCCTTTTCTTCCAGGGCACTTTCTGGAAGGCATGGTGAGTTGCCCAAGATTGTCCCCCAGTGCTGGTGGGTGGTTGCAGTGCGGCTCTAGTTAATCCGGCAGCAGCTGTTAATGGCCACTGGGAAGAGCAGGCCCTCAGCTTGCTGCCTGGCATGTGTCTGCCCCAGCCAACTGGGCAGGGAGGGGCAGCTTGCTGGTGGCAAGAAGAAACTACCCACCTCAACACTGTCCTCTTAGACGAGATCAGCCCGTTGGCTGTGCTGAGCCTCGGTGTGGATCCTGGGCGTTTGCAAAGCAGTTTGCGGCAAGTCTATTGTGGGAGTGAAGGCAGAGGTGTCTGCACACACTTGGGACTGGCCTTCTCCTCCCTCTGCCCCTCCCTTCTCCCTCTTCCATCACCACAACTCCTACTCCTCACATTTTTTATATCAAGAAGTAACTAGAGGTCAAGCAAACATCCCAGCCCAGTCCAAATCAAGTCCGTAAATCCGATACCAGTCCATAACTCCCTCTTCAGACACATGCAGCCACAGCAATGATGCAAAATGCAGGAAGATCTCAGACCAGTGGGTGAAAACTCTTGTGGATCCAGTGGTGGTGGAAGCCTCTCAGCGGTGGCAAGGGTCTCCACATGGTCCAACAGGAAGGTGAAGGCAGAGAGAGAGGGGAAGTTCCCAGGACCCTCCTTATGAGGAGGTCAGGCCCACAAGGAGGCACCATCAGACTGTGACCTGATTGACAGGCTAGACTCCACCCCTGCACTTCACACTGACACAAAATTAGGTAACTGCCACACCCATGCAGGGGCAGGAGTAGGGAAAGGCACACCCAGGGTCATGACCCCTTCCCACCCAGAGCCCTCCTGGAGGTGGCCCGCTCCCTGGGGAAGCAGGAAGCTGTAGCAGGGAGCATCTCTGGTGGGGGCTCCGCCTTTGATTCTTTCCAGGATCTTGAGTTGCACAGCGTCGTAGTGGTACACGTGGGCTGCTGCCTGCAAGGTCAGCAGTTTGGAACCATCAGCAGCTCAGCAGGAGAAAAGATGGGGCTTTCTACGCTCATAAAGAGTTACAGTCTCAGAAACTCACAGGGGTAGTTCTGCCTTGTCCTACAGGGGCTCGCTGAGTTGGCATGCCCCCCACCCCTACCATTTTACGCCCCAAGGAGTTCCTTCCTGGAGCTGACCTCCTGGCTCGGGGCCCAACGGCAAGGTGGGCTTCCCAGGAGGTCTTTCGCCGCCCAGCTCACGTGCCCCTCTTTTTCCAGAGCGAGATGCCTTCGACACATTGTTCGACCACGCACCAGACAAACTCAACGTGGTGAAAAAGGTCGGGAAGAGGGACCCGGGAGGGAGTCGGGGCAGAGGGTGCCACCCACACATGAGGAAAGCCCATCCCGCACCCCTGCCAGCACCCTGCTCAGCTGGTCCCATCCTCCTCTGCGCACACTGGGCTTGCCCCGGACAGCAGTTTCCCCCCTGCCACCTCTTCTCCCTGGTTCCTCTCCACCCGCCCGTTGCTTCTCCCATCGGGGTCACGGCTCTCCTGAGAGTGTCGATACAGTGGGCATTCTGTCCTTCCACCTGGCCCCTCACACAAATCTCTGTCCCTGCGCTAAGGAGGACCCCGTGGGATCATTTCTTCTGTAGCCCCTTCCTCATTCCTTGCAGGCTCACCCTGACCCTGGGTTCAGATACCCCACTGTGCCAGTCTGCCTCTTGGCACTTCCTTCTGAAGTGTCACTCCTTCCACGGTTCTGAAACTGCCGGTTAGAATCCCACAAAGCCCAGCCCGCCCGTCCTGGCCCAGGGCTCCTGGCTGGCCTTGACCTGTGCTTCCACGCTGATCCGAGCCTGCACATCGGAGTCCCAGAAGTGGCCTGACCCTCTCCGCCTCGGTGGCCCACTGTGCTTCCCTTTCAGACACTCATCACGTTCGTCAACAAGCACCTGAATAAGCTGAACCTGGAAGTCACAGAGCTGGAAACCCAGGTGGGTGGCAGAGCCTTAAGGACCAGGCAGGGCCTTTTGACAGTTCAACAGCCCAGCCCCCACCCCAGGCCCCGGTACTGTAAGAAAGGACCTTCCCACCAACACGGAAGCTTTCCCCAGGGCAGGAGCCAGGTGGGAACTTTATGTTTTGAAAATGTTTCCAACTCTATGTTTTGAAAATCGACAAGCATGGCACTATGAACATTCACAGACTCTTCACTTAGATACTCCATTGTTAACCTTCCGTCGCTCTTTCCCCTCTCCGCCCCTCACCACTTACCCGAAGAACAAGGTCATTCTGGTGGGTTGCCGCAATACACGGGGTTTCAGAAGCCTGGCAGAAAAATGGGATGAATAGAGAACGGAGTTTTCCCACGGCCTTTGCACAATGACCAGACCCAGGCACTTGTACATGCATCTCTCCATCTATGGAGGGTGCACCTCGTGGGACTGTAGGTACTGGACCGAGCGTGGTGGATCAGAATGGCCATTTCTTCTGTTTCATTGAAGGCCATTAGAGTCAGATTTTGCCAGCTGTCCCAGTATTCTCACACGCATCTCTTTAGTCGCTTCATCATATAGAATAATAATTCCTGAGCCTTCTATCACATCCCACTGACATTCTGGCATCATGCAGGTCCAGTGATTTATAGAACGCCCCCCACGGCCCTCGCTGCTGATAGGGTTCAGGCTGTGCGTCTTCAGTCCGGGTGCTCCCTGAGTCTGTGTTCTGTGCCTCACCCACAGCGCCATCAGAGCTTCTTCGTAGCAGCAAGGGTTAATATGTAGTCAGTGCCTCCTGCTCGGCATTTGACACAGACTAACTGGCCCCGCCCACTGGTCACTCTGTGGTGGGATACGAGACCACCCCGTTGTACAGATGAGAAAAGCGAGGCACAGAGAAGTGGCATAACTTGCCCAAGTCACTCAGCAAGGAAGAGGTAGATTTGAACTCGGGAGGCCTGGCCCGTGCATTCGCCCTCTGCACAAGCACTGAGAGAGAGATGTGAGAAAGGAGGGTGAGATCCAGGCCCGTATGATGCCAGACTTACTCCTCTCTGTTCAAAAAGCAGAAGTCACCCTGCTAACCCTAGACCCAGGACCTGGGACCCCTTTTCCTCCTCCCTCTGTCCCCGCCGTCTAACTCCTGCTCACCCCTTGGGTCTCCGTTCAGGCAGCGCCTCCTCGGGAAGCCCTCCCCAGTGGCCTCCCAAGAGTGGGGTGACCTTTGGTGGTCTCACTCGGGTTGAGACACTTCCCTCCATAGAGCCATCGCCGTGTGGCCCCCACCACCAACGCTGCACGGGACTGGGAGCTTCTGGAGTCCCCTGGCCCATCGCTCTACTCCTCGGGACTCAGTTCGCAGTCAGTGTGCAATCAATCAGTGCCAGGTGCACCGCAGTTGGCTCTGTGGCCTTGGGGCTGCTGTACCAGGCCAGCCAGCCCTGGGCAGCTGGGGGCAGAGTGAGCCTTCCTGCCTCTGGCCCCTGCCCCAGCCCCACCAGGGGCACCTCGGGCAGGGTGGGCAGGAAAGCAGTGGGTGAAGAAGCTCTGGGACCCAGCGCCTTCACCCGGCTGCCCCTTCAGTTTGCAGATGGCGTGTACCTGGTGCTGCTGATGGGGCTCCTGGAGGGCTACTTTGTGCCTCTGCACAGCTTCTTCCTGACCCCAGACAGCTTCGAACAGAAGGTAAGGGGGGGGGGGGCATGGATGGCAAGGGAGACCTCTTCCCACACCCCCTGACGCATCCACCACCCCTGCGCTGGCACTACCCAGGAGAAGGGCCAGCTTCCATCTGGCCCCAGTTCTTCCATGCCTGGAGGTGGGCGCCTGCCCCATGTCACTAAGCAGCCTCTCTCTCCCCAGGCAGTGCTGGCCGTCAGCTCTTGTCAAGCAGGCAGCCCAGCCTCATCTCTCTCCCAGGGAAAGGGAAGGCGGCCCGAAGGCAGGTCAGACCTGAGGTCTGCACCCAGCCGGGCTGTGGTGACCTCCTCAGCCCGCTTCCTGGACCAGGCATTCGCTCCAAAGCAAAAGCCAATTCTGTCCCTTCCCGAGTCTTCCAAGCCTGATCCTGTCAAGGCTGTGCACTGGCAGCCCTGAGGCTGAATCCCTGAAACAGCGGGAGAGGAAGAGGGTGGTGGGCTTCAGCAGGAGGTCTCATCCATGGCAGGCTGGGATCAGCAGGCTCACACACCCACTGGCCTGCCGAGTGCAGTAGCCCCATGTCCTTGCAAAGGCCGCCCTCCTCAGAGCTCAGCCGCTCTTGCGCCCGGAGACCAAGCCTGGGACCCGAAAGCCTAAGGACAGGTCCACAGGGACTCAGCCCCTGCGTGTTTCTCTTCTCCTTCCTCCCAGGTGCTGAATGTCTCCTTTGCCTTTGAGCTCATGCAAGACGGAGGCCTGGAAAAGCCAAAACCCCGGCCAGAAGGTATCTGCTGCCCCTGTCCTGGGCTGGTGCCCTGGGTGGTGATAAATGGGTGCTATCTCCTCCCTGCATGAGCCTTCCAGGCGCAGGGTGAGGTGACTGTTGGGTGACAGGAAGCAGAGTTTCCTTCCGCAGTTCCTCTGCCATCAGCAGGACCAGGTGAGCCACGGCTTAGACCCAGAGACCCTCTGTGAGCCGAAAATCACACGCCTCACACGCCGCGTCCTCGGGGATCAGAGCAGATGTTGGGGTACACAGCAGGGATGCTGCAGTAGATCCATGCTTCCCAGGTCCTCTGTCCCCTAGAACAGGGGTCCTCAAACTTTTTAAACAGGGGGCCAGTTCACTGTCCCTCAGACCCGTTGGAGGGCTGGACTATAGTTTTTAAAAAAAACTATGAACAATTTCCTATGCTTCTATGCACACTGCACATATCTTATTCTGAAGTAAAAAAACAAGGGGAAGAAACACCTGGTGGGCCAGATAAATGTCCTTGGTGGGCTGCATGTGGCACAGGGGCTATAGTTTGAGGACCCCTGCCCTAGAAGATAGGTTGCAGAACCAGACGGGGACAAAGGCTTAATGCTTCAGTAATGCAGCGTGTTAGCAAGGATGTGGGGGCAACAGAAATGGCTGGTCTGCATGTAAACGCATAAAACCATTGTAGAAAAGTTTGTCTTTTCTAAAGGTATCATTGAAGAGCTATAACACCCTATGTGGCAGGCAGAATGATGAGCCCCCAGAGATATCCATGGCCTCATCTAGGGGGCCCTATGTGACCGAAGAGACTCTGTTGCGGATGTGATTAGGTAAATGACCTTGAGATGGGAAAGTTAGCCTGGATCATCCAGGTGGCCCCAATGTAATCGCGAGGGTCCTTTCAGGGAAGGAAGGCAGAGGAGTCCAGGTCAGGATCGCATGAGACAGACTCATTGCTGGCTTTGAAGAAGGTAGATAGAAGAGGGCCCACCATAAGCCAAGAAACGTGGGCAGCTCCCAGGAGCTGGAAAAAGCACAGAGACAGCTCCCCCGGAGCTTCCAGAAGAAACCTCGCCTACTAACACCCACATTTAGCCCAGTGAGACCCGTGTCAGGCTTTTGACCTCCACAACTAAGAGATGATAAATTTGGGTAGTTTTAAGTGACCGGCTTGGGGCTAATTAGTTACTGCAGAAATGGAAACTACGAGAGCCAGCAGTTCTACTCAGCAGTGTGCACGTCCAGATACCAGGAGGCAGTTACAAGACCTTCTGTGATAGCCTAAGTTGGAATATACACCGAGGACAATAAACATGAATAAATTGAGTAATCCAAGGAGGGACTTGTAGTTATTACACTGTGAAGACAAGAATTATTATTCTCTGCAAAAAAAATCAAAAAGCCTATAAACTGGGAGAGTGGAAGAGGATGTGATCAAAACCAATTATTTCAGAGCACTGAAAACGACCAGAGGTAGATAACTAATTAAGACGCATTTGTTCTTGAAACACTACAGAATTATAGTTGGATAATTATACCCCAATAAAGCTATGTAAAAATGAGCCGTTACATGCAGCACCATTAATGGATCTTGCAGACGTGAGTAAAAAAATGCATCACAAAAGAATGCATGTCGTATGACTGCAGTTATATGAAGTATAAAAAGGGGCAACACTAAGGTCCGCTGTTTGTAGGTCCAGCCGTTAATGGTGGTGGTGGTGGCTCGGTGCCCTCTCCCAGCTCTTCTTTGTACAACAGTAGGAAACCCTGCCCACGCCTGTGCCATCCCCACCAGTCAGTGTTCTTATGACCGAGCTCATCGTTGCAGCCACCATGCCCATGCTCCTCCTGGAGGGCCCTCCACTTGACCCAGCTTGATGTCCATCTCCAGGGACTGGTCTCTCCCGACAACATGCCCAGGGAGCACCGTGGCTGTGCTTCTTCCAGGACAGAGCTGTGTGTTCTTTTGGCGGTCCATAGTACTGTCCAGAGTCTTCGCCAGCACCATAACTCAACTGCGCTGCTGCTTCTTCGGCCTTCCTTGTTCAGTGGCCAACTTTCACATGCATGGGAGGCAATTGAAAATACCGTAGCGCCGGGCAGGACATATGTTAGTGGTAGAACTTTTTTTTTTTTAAGCGAGGAAGGAATCACCCTAAAAGTCAGGAGCGTGGTTCTCTTCGGTGGTGAGAGCAGGTTGGAATCCAGAAGATAGCGGTGAGAGAGGAGGGCTTGCCAGGGAGCTGGTGGCTTCTCCCGTTGTGGGGGTTATGTGGGGGTCGCTCCCACAGCACTTACAACTGTACGTACAAGGGACATTCAAAATGTTTGGGGGAAGTGTTTCCATTTTCTTTTAGTTCAATTGTCCAGAGACGCTCTGAAGCCCCTTCATATACATTGCATGCGCATCTCTGGGTGTTTGTCATATTTATAAACTGCTTGGGCTTATGAAGAAATTAGTAAACAAGTGAGACAGGGTGACCAGCCACTACCAAAGTGGCCATCTTGCAAGCTCGGCCTCTGTCCCCGTGGAGATGGAGGCCAGTCAGGGCGTGCGGTGTAGACCGAGTTGAGATAGATGCAGTGGGAGGGGCTGGAGGCTGACACCATCCTCTGAGGACTCGGCGCCTCCCTCCGCCTATGCCTGTCGCCCCTCTTGCTGTCCAGCCTCCCACCAGCCGGTGGCACTGAGTGGCCAGGTGCCCTCCTCACCTTGGATGGGGACCCCTGCAGGGCCATGCTGTAGAGAAAGGGCTGCCGTGAGACTGTGGTCTGACGCGCCCATTGGGTCCATGGAGAAGAGGGCCACAGGGACATGTCCCTTCCTGTGAAGCCTGGCTTCCTGTTGTTGAGAGGTTCTTCTTCCTGTGACTGGCATCATGGAGAGAACCGTGAGCACACTCCGGACGATCCCCTAGTGCCCCTGGGTGAGGCGGAAACCCTAAGTCCTCAGCCCCTAACCAGAGGCTGAGTCTGATGGTCTGTAATAGGCAGGTAGCGTCTGCTCCACTTATCTCTGACCCGGGGCTTCACAGCCTGGGAGAGGGCCTGGACCAGCACACCAAGAGACCAGAGCACATAGTACCGAGTTGCCAGGGGCAGGAGCTAAAAGGAAGCTCTGTGTCTGTAGCATGGAGGCGGCCCAGCTCTTTCCCAGGAATCCTCAGCTCCTCTCCTGACTGAGAGAGCCCAGACCCTGGCCCGCCTGCTGGCCTGCCTGGGTGGCCACAGGGTTTCTAGATAAGAGCAGATGATAAGCAGTGTGTCTGGTGCAGGCTTCCCTCGTTCTGGGCCCAGCTGCCTGTGGGGACCTGTAGAGAGGAGCGAGTGGGATTCCCCAAGGACCAGGGGTTGGTCTGTGCAAACGGTGCCCGTGGAGTTGTGCAGGGTACAGGTGGCCTGGCCATACACAGCAACTCGGCCAACAGACAAAGGTGAAAATGCGGAAGGAGACTGTCGTTGGAACACTTAATATAGCCCAAGCATTTTCATAAAAGTACTGCCCACGGTTACCCACGAGCAAACTGACTGAGAGAAGGTCAGTGGCTTCACCAGGGTCCTACAGCTAGAGCGAGCTGGGCTTCCAATCTTAGTCCAGAGGAAAACTATAGAGAAAGTAGCTGAGTGAAGACTTAAGGCTGGGGTGAGAGGCAGACGGGCGTGTAGGAGGGTAAAGGGTACCCCCAGCAAACAACAAAACAAACACTGCCATCGAGGCGGTGCTGACTCATAGCCACCCTACAGAACAGGGTCCCCGACACTGTGACGCTTAAGGAGTAGAAAGTCTTGTCTTTCTCCCAAGGAGCGACTGGTGGTTTACAGCTGCTGACCTGGGGCAGACGGGCCCTTACTCAGGGCAGGAGAGGGTAGACGAGGGGCCAGCAAAGAAGGTGACCGATAAATGGCTGGTGGGCGAATGAACGGATGCAAGAAAGGAGGGACAGAGAAAATGGTGACATAAAAGCCAAGAAACCTCCTGCGCTCCGGTCAGAGCTGTCCTCCTTACCCAATCCCAATCCCTGGTGTCATCTGTAGACGCTATAAGCACAAGCCCACACTGCGCCTTGTGTTGCTACCAGTGTTTCTATAGTCACCAGCTGTCACGTTTTGTAGCCTTTGGGCTATAATACTGTGATAATTGGTATCAGTGAACCTGTGTCAGTAACTTCTTTGTAAACGAAGTGGTGATTAAAGGAAGAAACTTGCCTGGCACTAACGCTTACCTGTTCGCTCCCCAGCCTGCAGAAGCCCAATCCCCTCTGTGTCACCTTGTTCCCATCCGTCTATCCCCAAAGGCACAGAGCTAGTCGGGGCTCCCTGCCAGGCCCCCCGTCTCTGCGGGTGGGTCCTGTGCCCCGGGGCCCCACCCTTCTCTGGGGAAGAGAGGCTTGAGCTTATCTCACTGCCCTCCTTTCCTGGCCAGCGGCTCTGCTTTCCGTCTGCAAGGGTGAGGAGTGCGGTGGAGGCTAGAGGCAAAGACAGGGGCCCTGGGCAGCCGCAGAGTCAGGGCCAGCGCCCGCATACCTGGAGGGGCTGCTTGATGTGGCTGAGGAGGTGAACCCAGTGGCCAGCACCCCTGCCCCCCTGCCCCCTGCTGTGACCTCAATGGGGTGGCTTACTCTGCCTATTCCTCAACATGCACCCATCCTGCTCAAAGTGATGTCCGGTGGGTGAGCGCAGTACCCACCCAGGACCATGCCGGCCGCACAGGTGGTGGGAGGGCGGTGCAGGAAGGGAACAATGGGTGCCCACTTTAGGCCCCCGCCGTGGCCCCCCTGACGCAATGTGTGGGTTTTCTTTCCCATAGACATCGTCAACTGTGACCTGAAATCCACGCTGCGGGTGTTGTACAACCTCTTCACCAAGTACCGGAATGTGGAGTGAGGGACCCCCGGGGGCTCCCCTCGGCCCGGGAGCTCTAGCTGCAGGCAGACCAAACCGCCTCCATACTGCCTTCACCTGCTTCTGCCTGACTCCTGCTCAGCACTGTCCCACATGGCCAGCTCCCCCAGCGATGCTGGGGATCTGAGTGGGCTGCCCAGACCTCCTGTAGCCTGCGCAGTGACCCCCTCCTTGGGGCCAGGTTCAGATCCCCTCACTATAGTTTGGAGAACCAGTTTAAGCAAAAGATAAGATGCGATAAGATGAAAATAAAGGCAATAAAGCCAAGCCCACTGCCACTGAGTCCATCCCAATGCATCGTGCCCTGCACAGGGTTCCCGAAACCGTCAGTCTCTACGGCAGCAGACAGCCTCGGCTTTCTCACAGGGAGGAACTGCTGGGATTGAACCACCGACCTTGCAGTTAGTAGTCCAAGCCTAACCCACACCACCCCCAATCTGACGAGTATCACTATGTGCCAGGCCCAGCACGGAGCACTCTGATAGCCTCTAGCTCACTTCCTGCCTCCACCTGGCTCCCATTGAAGTCGTCGGCGGCAGCGGTGTCCCCTTTTACCGATGAGGAAACTAAGGCTCAGAGAGGTTAAGTGACTTGCCAGAGCCTGAGAGGTGCTTTTCCTCCTTGCTGCGTAGTAAAATCAGGAACGTGTGTGTCCGTCCCACTGCCCCCTTCCCCAAGAAGACACCAGCCCACTGCCCTCACCACCACCAGGGCGGGCAAGATTCACGCTGAAATTGGCAGATCGAATTTAACCCAATTAATAGGGCGTGCGGCAAGGGTCATGCCCCTCGACTCCTTTGTGCAAATGAAAATTACTCTTAATTCCTTCAGATTGATAATAACCCCTACCCTGATTTCCGGGTGACATTTGGGAAGGATTCTGTTGAGCATTAATGGAGCGGCGCGTTGGGCAGCCTTTTTGCTTGATTGCATGTAATGGAAATGCCCTATATTTCCCTGCAAACTAAGTACTCAATTCATTATCATTAGGCAAATGTACACTACTCGGGCACCGCAGAGAGCTGGGCATCGCTCGGGAAGCCGGTCTCTTCTCCGGGGACCCTGGAACTTTAAAGAAAGGAACTCCTTTTTGGCCTTCTAATTGATCATTTAGATTCGCTTTTCTGGCGAAGTCTGCACACGCAATTAGCGGCTGATTGAGGCGAGGAAAAATGTGAGTCATTTAGACCAAAGTCGAGCGGTCTGCTTGTGTGGTTTCTCAAGGGCTTGTGGAGATGTGTGTTTCTCCACGACGTGACCCCCAACTCTAGTTGGCGGCTGGGTCTTAGGGAACAGGAAAGATCTGAGGGAGGCCCAGGCAGGGGCCAGGCCGCAGGGGAAATAGTTACGTGCTTCACATGTAGGGGTCCTTCTCCAAGACAGACAGAGGGGATTTGAGGGGATGGCGCATCTTCCTCTTAAAGGGACCAAGGCCTTGCCATACTAAATCATTACCTGGGCTGGGAGTCCCTGAGCGACCCTCAACTGGTCATCAAAAAGTTGCTGATGGGAGCCTGCCCAGCGGACGATAGGCCTGGCGAGCTGGTGGACTTCGTGACTCCTGGAGTTCCCAGAAGTCCCAGGCTTGACGCACAGCCGCAGCAACCCTTGGTGGTACAGCTTGATGACCGAGCTCCCACAAATAGACCAGCCCGTGGAGCCCCTGGGTCAGCTTTGCTCGGAAGCCTCAGCCTTTGTCACCACCCCAGGGCCATTTCACAAAGCCCATCTCTCTTGGGGGTACTGGAGGAATCCGGGGCTCTCTGCTGACACCTCCGGACGTTCGGGCTCCCATGCCACCCAGGGCCTTGTATTCAGCCCCCTCCTCCCGTACCCTGCACATCTGGTGGTTTGCGGAAGAAAGGCGTGTAACTGGCTTGCCATGAGCACTGAACATGTCAAGGCCGTGTCCTCTCGCATGTCTGTATATGTTAAAGAACATAAATTCTATATTTGCATAATTAGTGAATACCGGGCTTTTCCTTAGGAAACACTGGGCCCTGTACTGTCTCTGTTTGCTCTCTGAAATCAAGGGAAGTAATTGCTTCCTCTCCTGTAGCAGCAGTAGAGCGGTGTGAATGGTGTATTTAAACATGCTTTGCTGGACAAATTTTGTCTCTTTTTTTCTCTCCTGCCGCTCACATATTCAAGCCGCGAGTGTACAGGGCCCTGATGAAAGCACTCCTCTACTCATGCAGTCTGAAAGCATATTGGAACATTCGGAAAGTGTTTTAATAACTGGCCTAATTTATCAGAAAATCCTCTCTCAGGGCTGAGGTCTTTGTCTCCTTCCGGAATCCGGGGGCCTGGGCGTTGGCCGGGTTTTATAGCCACGTTTTCTCATTGAAAAGTCTGCTTTTAAATTCTGGCATGTCCTACTTAACAAACAGCTTAACGTTTTTTGGAGTGGGCAGAAGGCATCGGAACAATCAGTACACCAAACTGCACCCTCATCTCTTTCAGAACAGAAACCAAAGCAAAACCCCAGTCTCAGAAGACCGACTGGGCCCTTTCTCTTCCCTTTTTAAAGTCAAAGAGATTGGTATCTTTAATCGGTCACAAATCAAGGGTGCAAATATTTAAATGCACGAATGGGTGCCTAGTGACTAAAAATCGATACCTTTCTCCTTTCCCCCAGAAACCAGTACCCCTCCCATAGGTAAATGTTTGATCAGTTTCTTATGCATATTTCCAGATATAATTTAGACATCTAAAACGCACGTTTTAAAATCGTCATTGTTTTATACATAGTACATGCACGTTGCTTTTTCATTGGCCATTATACCTTATAAATTGTCTCATGTTGGCTTTTGTTTTGTTTTAAGGAATTCTCAAGAGACAATGACTAAGTGCTCGGCTGCTATCCAAAAGGTTGGCCATTCAAACCCCCCCCTCCACCCTGCACCCCCCGCCCCAAGTGACTCCATGGGGGAATCACTTGGTGATCTACTCCCATGAAGGTTACAGCCTGGGAAGTCGGATGGGACATGTCTATACTCTGTCACAGGGCATTGTAGGGTCTTTACTGGCTAATTCCTGTGACGGGGACAGCCTATTTCTTCTCTGTCATCTATTCTTGGTCTGGAAGTTTTCTGAAACCTTTCACTTTGGGTGACCCTGCTGGCATTTGAAAAACCAGTCACGTAGCTTCCAACGTCACAGCAACACACCAGCCACCACAGTAGGACAGACTGACAAGTGCAGGACCGGGCGGTCTTTCACTCTGTTGTGAAAAGGGTCCGGTGAGTCAGCATGCACTCAGTGGCACCTCGCACGACCACCTCCACCACGTGAAGTTACTGTTAAGTCAGCCGGACAGCCTCCAGCCACATCTTTCTGAAATCTTGTCACATTTTGACACGAGAATCGGACCACCGTGCAAATCGAAATGCACATCTCCCGAAAGATGGGGGCACGCAGCCTCAGTAGTAAGACGAGACGGATCAGGGCAGGGGCAGGAGAGCAGAATTTCAAAACCAAAAAGCAAGCCCTCCCTCGGATGAGCATGGTGAATTGTGTGCTGTTCGACATTAACTTTCAGTTTTACATGTCACTAGGGCTGCTAATTTGCCATCTGAGAAAGTATTTGAAAAATACACGTGTGGCGTCTCTTCCCATGCATAGTGATTCTATGACTGCTAGTCAAGGAAACAGACTGCCCCATCTTTCCCCCTTGGAACGGTGACTAGAGACCTTGCAGCATTTTGCAGGGAGTCCCGCTTCTCTGCTGTATTACAAAGTACCTCTCGCACGCACACACCCACAGCATGGACTGGTCCAAACTGTGGCAGAAGGATTCTTCCTCATCAGCCCGTCAGCAGTGGCACCTTGCGCTTGGTGTGGTATTTATTCCATAACTGATGGTTGGTGGTAGTTTTAATTATGAATTACTGTTCACTTTATCATCATTGGCTCATTTTGGTGTGGGCTGCTTGCCTAATCCTACCGAGTATCCTGAAGCGCTTTTGCAACAACATGTATCTGGGGGGGCTTCAATTTTCCAATAAGGAGATTCTGAGACATGTATAAGTTGTGGTTCAAGTACAAATCCTTCCTACTCCAGTGCTAAAGGAAATGTATACATAATCTACCCGCCTCAAAATGATCACTAATTTATTTTTCCACTGGAAACTGAAACTAAGTGCAATTGGTAGGTCAGGGTGGGGACCTTGGTGTTTCTGAGTTGAAGTTCTTGCCTTTCATGCAAAAGACCAGGTGCTCAGTAGCCACCCAGTGCATCTCATGCACAGCCCCCTACCCAGCTGTCAGCAGAACTTGCAGGCTGTTAGGATTCTGAACACATTTTAGTGGCATGTCTAGTGGAAGGTGGACTAAGAAGAAAGAGTTGGCAACTTAGCTTTTCGTATCCACCCGTGAAAGTCCTCTGGATCACAGCAGCCTGGTGGACTAGTTGTCAGATGGCTCAGGGCCAGGCCAAGGTTCATTCGGATGGGTATGGCGTTGAGTGTCTACTTAATGGCAGCTAACCACATCTAGTGGGGCTGGTGAAAAATTTGAGCTCTACCACCTTTAGGATACAGTACTGCCATCTCCCAGCTCGAGAAACATACTACATACTGGACATGTTGGTGTCAGGTGCCCTCGAGTCCATGCCAGCTCATGCGAACTTATGCACACTGGAATGAAACCCGCCCCGTCCTGCACCAACCCCCACAGTTCTTATGGGGGAGCCCATTGTTGTGACCACCGTGTCATCCTGGATGTGCAAAGGGGCATATGCCTTAAAACCTGCATGAATTCTAATATTGAACATAATTTCCCCCAGAGAATTCACTAAAGTCTATTAGAAAATTCAAGAGAATTAGGACGTATGCTAAGAATGAGAGAAATGCATTGAGACGCAAACCCTGATAGTTGAAGGGGAGGGGTGCCTACGTGCCTTTCCACACACCAGCTTCCTCCTGTGGATTGAAGTCTCAGCAAAAGACAAGTTCGTGTGAGCCCTGAGCCTTCCGCGGGGCTGACTGTCGTGACGGGGAAGGTTTATCTGCTAAGATCTACTGACTTTTGTTCTGAAATATGCAAACTTGGGGTGGCCCCACAATTTCCTCATCCCTGCCCTGTGCTTCGTGGTGGCTACAGATGTGATTCTGTGCAGATGTGTTAGCCGAACCAGATGAGCGGCCCCCAAACCAAGCTCGCCGGTCTGGAGAATTTCAGGAGTCCTGAACCCACTACGAAGCCCCTCTTACAGCACATTTCCCTGGGGGGAAGCAGCCTAGTGCAGGGGCAGTCCCATTCCAATA